TTCTATTTGTACCCCGCCTATCCGGTCAAATATATATGACTCCCACAGAATTAGTCCACAAAACAAACATTTTAATCAAAGCTTGATTTTCAGAAATAATGTGCTTTATATTCCTTAACTCTAACAGCAGTGTATTCGACTTCACAATCTACAATCATATCCAACATAATAACATAGGAGAGCTTTAATGCATTTATAGGGCAAACAGGCTACAAATGGCATATAAAACACAGAAAAGGGTGTTCATTTATATTGCTTACCCTAAATCCAACCCGCTAAGGCATATTCAAGGTAAGCATCTTTTCTTGGACACAAAAATATTTTAATAAAAAGAAGGAAGGGGGAAATTACCTTAATAATTAGTTTCTTTGTTGATGCTTTGAGCTGTGAATGATTGCTTGTTACAAACATTTTCATCAGTAAATAAAATACTGATCTCTCACCGCAATTCCGCTCAGTTTCATCCTAAAAGAGCATATTTTTATTGGTTATCACAGATAAAAATGGTTTAGGATCTCTCTATATTAATTTATAATTTAGTGGAGCAATACATTGCATTCAGAGAGATGTAACAGACTGAGGAAAAATGGGAAAAAATTACCATGTTTCCCTGAAAATAAGACAGGGTCTTATATTAATTTTTGCTCCAAAAATGCATTAGGGCTTTAATGTTTTTTTCATGTACAACAATCTACATTTATTCAAATACAGTCATATATTCTTCTGGTTGCTGCACAATGGTGGAGGGTGGGGTTTCACTTAACTGGGTCTTATTTTTGGGGTAAGGCTTATATTACGAGCATCTTGAAAAATCATACTAGGGCTTATTTTCAGGTTAGGTCTTATTTTCAGGGAAACAGGGTATGAAAGCATAAGGTCTATTCATATAATATTACTCTTACAAAAGAGCAAAGAAAACTGTACTAATTATGCCTTAGCAGCAGCAAATACCTAAAAAATCATCCCCAAATCCCTAGTTAGGTAAAAATCATTATACAGCTCTCTCTCTCTCTCTCTCTCTCTCTCTCTCTCTCTGTGTGTGTGTGTGTGTGTGTGTGTGCGCACGCGCGCACACACACACACACACACACACACACACACACACACAGAGAGAGAGAGAGAGAGAGAGAGAGAGAGAGAGAGAGAGAGAGAGAGAGAGCATACCAAAGTTGAGGAAGGCCAGATGTCAGACTTCAACTTGCAACGCCTTCTACCAAGGCCAAATGTAAGAAATTCCTGGCAGCTATACTCTAAAATAACAGTTCCCAACCTTTTTTGCCCCGCAGACTGGCTGGGGAATGCGGGGCACCCCCATGCGCTTGTGTGCATGCACAAAGGTGTGTGCGCTTTTGCGCATGCGCGAATGGCAGCAGAGTGCTTGTGCCGGCATGCACTTGTGTGCATACGCAAAGGGCAGTGTGGTGCTTGTGCAGGCGCTTGCACACAGGCGCAAACAGGCTGTGCAAACGGGGAGTGCGTGCGGGGGAGGTCTCTCTCTATGGCCCAGTCGGGCTCAGGCCACACACTGGCACCGGGCTGTGGACCGGGGGTTGGGGACCTCTGCTCTAAAACACGCAGAGAGCCGTTTCCCACCAGGTGCATAAGCAAGACAGTGAGCCTTGGGAAATAGTAGCCCCTGCACCTGGAGGAAGAGTGTACAAGTATTTGCTTTTTATTAACAATAATTTGTTGCATTACGGTTAACAATAGTTATGGTTACTTTACAAGAACTCATTGTCAAACCATGGTTAACAGTAGCTGCAATTCCAGGTCCAGACAACATAGTAAGCTGTGGTTATCTAAAACTGGAAGTGAACATTTCAAAACATCTCTGCACACATGCCTCATAACAGGAGGTGGCAACACATGAACTCAATGCTTTTAAAAATATATATGGATCCGCAGCCAAAGAGTAAGAAGAATCTTCCTCAGGTCATACAGCAGAGGAAAAGCAGGAGTGAAGTACTCTCAGCTAGTGAAAACACTAGCTGAGATCAGCCAGTTTTCTGCTGTATTCTCCCTCCCAATTCATGGGGAAAGTGGTATACAGGAAATTTCTGTTGTTATTTCCAGTCACATAACATAATGCAAAGTCACAGTAGGTCTAGCAAGTGAAGAAAACAATACACACACACAACTTGTTTGACAAGATGAGACAAAAACAAGCCCCACATTCCTTCCTACCTGCATTTTAAACCAGGAAAACTTGTTTGCAGGCAATTCCAGAGCTACGTTGAGTATGTGATGTTGCAGAATGGGTGGGATCTCCTGTCGCAAACCTTTTTCAGTAACAATACCTAAGATTTTAAAAATAACCTTGGTTTTAATTTCAGTTATTTATTTTCTTCTTTTCATTGTATTTTCAAGGTAAAAAATATAATAAGCATAATGTATGGCTTTAACAAGCACAATAAAAGACAGAGAACAGAATTAACCAGTGCAGCAAAAATCCCAGAGCACAGAACGTCATAGAGCTTTTTTGTTTTGTTTTTCAAGCTCCGTGACATGTAACAAGGATTTTTAAACCTAGGAATATAAACTGTTCATTACCAACACCAAAAAGACATGAAGGAAAGCTTCCAGGGGAGAGCCTTCCAAATGTAGAGTACTATATCCTTTTCCTAGCTGGCCAATCCTGGTGTCACAGTGGGTACCTGAAGGAGAGCTTCCACATGTGTCATATGTAAGTGATATGATATTATGCCCATAGGGAAGTGTATGGGGCCAACCTTTCCTTCAAGTAACCAGGTCTCAAGCCATCTAGGCTTCAAAAGCAAGTATCATCTTAGAAATGATCTGGGTGTCCTTAGATATTTTTAGACCTCAGCAAGATATGTTCTAGACATCTCTCTCTCTCTCTCCACGGCTATAAACACAATATGAAAGAAAGGTAGACCAAATCAGGATTGTATGTCATATAATGAACCTTAGAAGGTAGTGTGTGATGATCTGCTTCCAGTCTTTGGCCCCCTTCAAATGTGCCAGGGCCCCGCATGGGGCCCTATATGGTGCCCACTGGGAATAGCTGTACTAGACATTCCTCTTCAACATTGCAAGATAAAATGTATGGGTTCTTAAAAATCCTATTTTATCAATGTCACAAAACTGAAGGATTTCAAAGGCATTTCCATAGCAGATTAAAATTACATTTTAATATAAGGGTAAGATACTGCATTTATTCTAATCAAAGCTTTGCAACTATAAGCTTACGTTGGGATTCTGTAAAATGATACTCCTAAGATGACATGATCAAAAATCCATAAGATGTTATCACAAGAACACCCTTTTCTTTTCATTATAAAGCACAGGCAGCTACTCTATACCAGGTAGCCTCCTGTTCTTCAATCTAGCTCACAATTCTGGGACCTTTTGTATGCAAAAGTAAACTCTCTTCCATACATATGATTTCCGATGCATCTCCCAGCTCACCATTTCAAGCACACATAGATTACCTTTTATTAATTTGCTAAAGTCGAAGTTGCTCTGTGCTACTAAGTGGGGAACAGCTTGCTGATAAAGGCATGTAACCTGAAGTAAGACAGCTTTCAAAAGAGTAGTTTCTGCATCGTCTGAGCCTAGAAAAAACATACAAAATATTAACACCATTTAAAATGATGAAGTCCAAAGAATGCAATGTCTCCCTAAAAATATGAATACATGTTTTTAACTGTAGTTTATTCTAAAGATAAACTATCAGTGCAGTCTAATCCTGCCCATATGCTCTGTCCCCTCTGTTCTGGGACAACAACCACAATTTGCATTGTTTATTTTTATTTATTTATTTATTAGATTTTTACCCCACCCCCCTAAACAGCGTCTACTCGGGGCGGCTTACAAATGTAAAACATCATAAAATATAATAAAACATCACAATCATTCATTAAAACAATTAAATCAGTAATATGGTGTGTACTGGGTAGAAAACCTTACACAGTGAAGCACTGAAACATAAAGAGTAGGATACATACTGTAGTTGAAAAGGGAAAGGAAGATGACAGGATTATTTATAAGAACATACACATAATTTGTTATATTTATATCCCACATCCAACCGTAAGAGAACTCACATTATCTATTACATTTGTCCTACAATTTATTATTATTATTATTATTATTATTGTAGGACAAATGTAATAGATAATGTGAGTTCTCTTACTTAGACTTATATACAACCCCATAGCGCTACAAGCACTCTCCGGGCGGTTTACAATTTTTTTAATTATACAGGCTACACATTGCCCCCCCCCAGCAAGCTGGGTACTCATTTTACCGACCTCGGAAGGATGGAAGGCTGAGTCAACCTTGAGCCGGCTACCTGGGATTTGAACCCCAGGTCGTGAGCACAGTTTTAGCTGCAGTACAGCTTTTTAACCACTGCGCCACGAGGCTCTTTCAGCCTGACAATTCCAGCCTGACAATCAAACTAGCATAACACACTGGCTCTCTCAGCTGGATGCCCGGTAAAAATCTCAGAATGGACGGCTGTACGAAGTACATGTGTTGGGAGCAAGTCAACAACTCTACTTGCTTCCCTTAGGAAACCAACTTAACTGGGGGGAAAACATTTGCCTCTCTCAGGAAATGCCTTTAGGTGCTTTGCTCCATGCTTTTGTTTGTACAGCAAGAGGTGAAGCCAATCACCAAATGGAGCTGTAGCTTAGCTTGAAAAACTTCTTCAGTAGCAATGTGAATGCTGAACTTTATATGCAACATGAATTTGGAACCAGTCAAATATGCACAAGCTGGACTATGACTGCCTTTAGAAAACTCAAGAGCTTTCCTGAAACAAGACTTCCAATTTTAGAATTTTATTAGACACTGTTAAAAGCATCACTCCTACAAGAGGTCATTAACAGTGTTTGTCTCAAAGAACCAAACAGAGCCACTATGAATCATCAGACATGAATCATTAATAGCTGCTGTTCTGATGAACATTGGATAAGATGACTAAAATTTTCCTACCGTGCTCTCCCTTTGTTTCTTTAACCTCAGACATTTCTTCTACAATAGAAGCAGCATCTTCCTCTGTTTCCTTCTGTCCATCTTGCACCTTCTCTTGTTTTAGAAGGGACTGCCAGACTGCTATTACATTAGTCATATCTGGTAAAAGCTAGGTTTTGAAAAGATAGGGGTATAAGCTAACAAATACTGTTATAACATTATTCTGACATTGAAATATGTTTATAAGAATTACTCACAATCCAGAATCATATGAGAAAAAACAGAACAGCTACAAATTCATATAAGTTACTAATCACCAGCTTTTGTGAAAGTCTGATTTATGAAGTAATAATTATTTTCAATAATATAAATGAATGTTTGTTGCTGAAAGGCTATTTTAATTGATTTCTCTTATAAGTCACCTCAGTAAGGTTAAATGATGCTGACGGTTTTTCTGTTTATCTTTGTATTTGTTACACAGCAGTGGCTGACTTGAATATATCATGCAAACACATACACCTAGCACACATATGAGCTATTATAGCTGCAGAATGCTGCAATTATGTTATTATGCAGCAGAGCAAATCAAAATTCTACAAGGAAATTCTAAAATTAGGGCAGCCCCCCCAAATTATAAATTATACTTTTGTAGAGTAGCTCTAATTTTCTTAATCCTGGGAGAGCTTGAAAACTGTACTTCTACTTTATTGGTTTGCTTTATTTAAAATATGTTACCCTGCTTTTCTCCCTGAAAAGGACACAAGCAATGTCCCTTCTAAGGTGCTCACGCACAGAGGTCCATCAGGGAAGGCCCTCTCTCATGTACCCACCACATTTATTTATTTAAAATATATTTATCCCACCTTTCTCTTTCTTTAAAAAGGACCCAAGGTGGCTTACATCATGAAAGATATTTAAAGCTGAAAACAATGAGTATACAACGGTGTATAAAGAGGCAGTTTACACCATTAAAAGACAGTATAAAAGCTAAATTAAATAAGTATGTAAATGTTTAAAAGGAACAAAGAAATACCAGTCTGAGAGATAGTAAACATAAGTAGCACTAAAGACCCAGTCAGAACAGTAATGCATAACAACCCATCTGAAAAATCACTCATGTAGCCACCCATGTAGCCAGTAACTGAGAGAAGATGATGGGACAGAGAGAAAGAAAGGCTTCTCTGGATGATCTTAACATCTGAGCGGGTTCATAAAGAGAGATGCGGTCCTTGAAGATAGCTTGGACCCAAGCCATTTAGGGCTTTACAGGTTAGAACCAGCACTTTATTGTGCCCGAAACTGGATCAGCAGCCAAGGGAGGGGAGTTATGTAATCTCTATGAACCAGCCCCAGTTAGCAATCTGGCTGTTGCGTTTCGTAGCCATTGAAATGTTTCCTGACATTTTCCAGAGGCAGCCCCACATTACACATTACAGTACATTACAGTAATCCAGCTGTTGATGTACTGGTGACGCCAATGCCCAAAACCCCATGACAACTTCCTTCCAGTTTGCTTTTTAAGTTTTTTGGGGGGACTTGAGAGGCTCTCTACTGCATTTTATGGCACAACCATTGCTTCTGGAGGCTCCAAGGAATGTGTAAACCATTGTCTACATCTCACCTTTCAGTTATAAAATTTTTCAATCTCCTAATTCAAAATCTAATAACAGGTGAATCAATATATTTAAAAGATTTTTTCAAGTTAGTAAAGAAACAGCCAAGATACAAAAAAGAGAGTTAATTTTTTCTTTTGCTCCACCAATTGCAATTTTACACAATTCCTTTTTGTGACTTCATACCTTGCTAAGTGCTTCCCTGTATTGCTGTACAAAGTCCTGCATGAATGATGGTGTATAGATTTCTGATTTCTCCCATATTTTCTCATTCAGACAATACTCAATGTTCTTCAGTGCTCTTTTCAGAATAGTTGATATAAGTGAAAGGATTGTATGTTTCACTGTTTTGCTGGCTATCTAAAATAAAAGAAGAAAAGAATTATAACAAATTTCTGAAGGGGATTAGAAGTATTTGCAGACAGACAAGAAAAAAAATATGAGGTGGGGGGAAGGCATCAAACTGATTGCAAGCTATAGGATTCAGTGCCATAAAAGATATAAAAAGATATTAAGATAAAATAGATCCAAAGTATTCCCACAAACTGCCTTTCCCAAGGACGCTAGATGATGTCTTACTTACTGGCTGAGAGGATATTCTACAGAAGAGTGATGTCGCCAATAAATCATTTTATTTTTACCATCTGTGAGTGGCTTTATCAGCCAGCAGTATCTTATGAAAAAGTCCTTATTCTCATTTTGCTTTTGAACTGGCCTTACAGGAAAGCAGGGCTCTCATTCATATTAGAAACTACCACTGTCTTCCTTCTCATATGTTTGGAGGATAACTTGTTGGTTCTTCCATGTCAATACTCAGGCTTACATGCCTTCCCACTTCCCTCTCTGCCACTGACATGGCTGCAAGATGGAGATAGGTAGGTTTCCCTTTTGCTTTTGATTTATCATAGCCCTGCTTTAAGTCCAAATCCTAAGCAGTGGTTGCTTTTAACTATGGTTAACTAAAACAAACTTGTGAAACCACAGGCTTAAGTTCCCTTGTTTTTAGTAAGTTAAGACTAACCACAGTTTATCTTGGTTCAGATGTAACACTAAGCTGTGGTTAGTCAGAAATAAAAGTTTCCAAAGTGCTTTGTGTTGGTTGCACCAGAGAAAGGAAGAATACATTGAGTGAAAGGCTTGTACATACTTGTTTTTTTAACATTGTACCACACAAATGGAGCTAATGAAGCTGCTGAAGCTACTGCAGATGGAGAACTTAACGAAACACCCCCATCTTATAATGAAAAAATTCTTACATTCAATCCTTGGGTGAACATGGCTTTATTACACACTGCTGGAATGGTTGTCACCATCACTACTGAAAGAAGTCTTGGAAGTGGAATGAACTCTGGGATTTTAAAAGCATTGGAAACTTCTGGCTGAGCTGCATAGATCTAAAATTTTAAAGAAAGCCATATATATTATCAGATGGTACTAATGAGACCATGGTACTTATGATATATTCATATGGACCCATGATGACAGAACAATTCTAAATGCCCAATTCCACATGCAAAGAAGAGAATTCAGAAATAACAATATACATTGTTGATGTCTTAAAAAGAAAAGATGCTTGTTTTATTATAATTAGGAAAGCATCAGTTGGCTCTAAAACCAGTCATTATACAGCATTTAAAAAAATCACTCTTCTTGATAGCAAATAGTATTCAGATGCTAAATTGCAAGGGAACTTTGTTTGCCTTGATTTGGCACTAGAAGCCCACCTAGACCCTTAGACCAACTTCAGTCATTAGTTGACTGCCCTAGGAAAAAAAAGGCTGTCTGTGGTAGAATGGTAAAACATGGTTGGAAGAGAAAGGAATAATCACATTGTGTTTCCAAAGCAAGCACAAACACATGCACACACATACACACACAAACTAAAATTTGTGCCTCATTTTGGAAGACATAATGCAGTTGCTGAGGCTGATATTTCTGCCTGCTTATAAAGGCAATTGCCAGTTAGAGAAAACTGGACTAAGCTGATGAGACAAGCAGAATACTTCACAAAATGGCACATTTTGCTTGAATGTGAAATCTCCAACAAGCTACTGAACATGAATGATAGTTGTGCTGCTGCTTTAGTGTTGGAGATACAGTACTAGATAAACACAGATGAGAAACATGGCTGATACTAGTTTTTCTTTCTTTTTTCCACTTGATTTATGTTGGGATTTCATGCTTCTCACTGGACTGCTGACCTTTTAAATTACATTTGCATACATTTTATCACAAGCCACATTGAAGACCTATTCTGGTCAAAATAGCAGAGAATTAGTCAATATGATAAAGAAAGAAGTTGGACCAACATTTTGTTGCAACTTCCACGCTGAATACACTCAGTATCTTGCTCAATTATTTTAAGCAAAGAAGAAGCATACAGAAAGACAAAAGATTCCCTGAAGGCTTTTTTTTTGTTCCTCACTATCAGAAATCAACCCCTGCTTTTTTTCCAAATCTAGATAAATATTTATGCCAGATTCTCAAATGAAAGAGACAGTTGGGACCAATTTACCCTTTAGTCTTCTTTTCACAGCATATTGTTTTTGTCACTATTACAATATTAACAGTACCTCTTGTTTATGATAATTAAGTAAGAAGTCAATCCGGGTATCTAACAAAAATAATCCTACTTTTAAAAATCATAATGAAACTCCATTTAAACACTTCTGTTAAAAAAAAGTTCTGTCTGTACAATTACAACCTGCTTTCTTACAAGCACTTGAGATGGCAAATCAAGAACAAAAGATACGGTATGTATCGATGTGAAGTAAGTGCATTTTTGCTTAACTTAGAACAAAATGAAACATCATTGCTTTTCCACACTAGTTAACATCTAGTGCTTAATCAGCTCATAAGCAAAATTTCTTCAGTCTAGGGCCTACCAGTCACATAACTGTTTCTTCAGCAACCTACACAGAGTAACACTGAACAGACTATGATGCAGGAATTCCAGAAAGACAGGAACATAAAGATGTATTGCCTGCTATTTAAGTACCTGTTTTGAGTTAATACTGTATTCTTTCTGAAAGACTCAAGAGTACAGAACAGCAATTAAATCCAAAAAGGGGAAAAACAAACAAACAAGCCAAACTTAGCTGCCCACAATATCACTTTGCGTTCTGTTTCCCTTCTACATAAGTACCCACCTAGGGTGGTGCATATATTGACTGCAAGCTGTTCTGGAGAGAACAGACGTGGCCTCAGTTATCCAGGCTGTATTGACATCTTGACTACCCTAACATATTTTATTTGAGACTGGCTGCAAAGGAAGTTCAGAATTTTCAACTTGTGCAAAATGTGGGTGTCTTGCTGCTGGACAGGGCTAAGCTACTGGACTACGTGGCATCAATAGTGACACTGACGTCAGTAAGACTTCGGAGTAGACTTACGCAAGACTGCAGTATAAATAATTCCAAAGCATTAGGAAATATGTGCATTTTTACATATGCATAATATTAATTTAAATAAAAGAATCAAATATGAACTTACTGTATTTCCCCAAAAATAAGACAGGGTCTTACATTAATTTTTGCTCCAAAAAATGCAGTAGGGCTTATTTTCAGGGGATGTTTTATTTTTTCATTTACAGCAATCTACATTTATTCGAATACTGTACTGTTATGTCATCTTCTTCTGGCTGCTGCACAATGGTGAAGGGTGGGGTTTCACTTAACTGGGGCTTATTTTGGGAGTAGGGCTTATATTACGAGCATCCTGAAAAATCATACTAGATCTTATTTTCAGGTTAGGTCTTATTTTCACGGAAACAGGGTATATAACAAACATATAATTCCATGACATACAAGCACTTTTGCAGTATTCCATATACACAGCATAAAATGACAACTAGTAGATGGGACAATGATTAATTTCTCCACAAAAAGCATTCAAGCTTGGCGCTTGTTCAAATATTATCATCTCAATTTAGCAGGAATCTCACACTCCCTCATACAGTCTACTGTCTACACAGTAATGTCTCTTAAAGTCCGTATTGCCCTTATCTGACTCATAGCTTCCAAATTTTTCTCTTTTTTAATCACATTCCCCAGAATATTCCAGGCAGCATAGCCACTGGGAGTTACAGTCCCCAAAGCATTCTTTTCCCAACTTCTGGCCTGTCTGCAGCTGTCTTCCAGATGCTATGACAATAACCATATGCTTGCAATTTCAAGAACAGATTCAAAGGCAGAGAGAGAATAAGAGACATTCACCATGTTCAGATGAACTGCAGCACAGAAGATACAGAGGAAGAACAAAAGTCCAAAGGTATCCCTGGGCAAAGACTTCTCCACAATTAAGTATATCTGGATTGATGTCAGCCTCTTTAGCATTCTTTATTATGTTTCCTAGAGCTGTTGTCAGAACTTCAATTCCCATCATCCCCCATTATTGCCTATGCAGACTATCACTGATGGGAAATGCAGTCTAACAATATTTCAAAGATTTTTTTGTTCTTCATGCCTGCCATCAGGGAAAATGTAAGTGTTCGTGTGGAAGCAATTTCTGGGATCTTATTAAGAATACAAATGTTGGTAAGGGTCATTTTCACGTTCAATTGTATAATAAGCAGTGTTCTTACCTTCCTGAGCAATTTCATATTGTCCAACCAAGTAGATTTTAGTCTTGGAACAAAAGAATATTGGGATTCCTTAAAGTATCTGTTCAGCAAATCTGGGCACACTTTAAAAATGTTCACCATAAGATCAGCAACCATCTCATCTTCTACTGCAGTCTTCAGACTCAGGAGAAAGCGCAGAAGTATCAAGTTTCCTCCTCTAATTAAGTCAGAATTCAAATGAACAAATCACTATGGCGGTATTTGTTAGGTTACTCTCATAATGCACATTCTTAAAAGTGGTTGCGATCCAAAGAGCTACAGCTACAGAAAAAAATACATAGAGCTTCAGCATTCCTACTGGGATTTTTGACTTTTCCTTTGAAGGTCAGGTTCCCATCAGTTTCACATACTGCTTTTCAAACTTAACTCCAGTTTCAACGTTTTGAACCTTGTTACAAACCAAGGCAAACTGCAGTCTGAGAAACAGAGTCCAACATGTTTTTGGCTGCAATGTACCAGTGATGTGGAAGTGAGACAGCTCTTTGGAAGCAGAACAAGGGACTACATTTGTCTCCGTTCCCTTTTGACAAAGAGAGAACGTATACCTCAAAAGCCACTGAAATCATAGATTTTCATTCTAATTTAGGCATATGGCATGTTCATATCCATTTCATTTTCAAGAAACACTATCAGAATATTATTCACAAGAAGAATTTTAAACCAGAGGAGTTACAGCTCAAAAACTGAATTCTGAGAAATGATTATGCATATACAAGGCAGCTCCTCAAGTGCCAGTGTTTTTACAATCCAGAGATAAGAGGTTTAAGGTTGTTCTTTTTTTAAAAAAAAATCTTATCAGGACCCAGTGCTCTGCACACAACCAAGGAGCTGATGGCTGGTAACGACTCTGCCACAAAGAGCAACTAATGCACATACACACACACAAATCTACCACAAGTAGAAGTCAGCATCCTGAAAAGCCTTAAACTAAGCAGGCTAGTTGCAGATATTACAGGTGAAACAGAATCCAATTAATCTATCCTATTTTTATATCAAAGCAGAGATTCTCATAGTTGTAACAAAAAAAAAATAAAACACAAATGTATTTTTATCTGAATGTACAAATTACAGATGCTGGCCTAGACCCATCAGTCCCCAATCTCTTGTATAACAGGATGCATGGTGGAAGGCTGAAGAGAAAAAAGGGTATCACCTGTTCTCAGTTCCACGGACAAAATTCAGTGGAACAACCCTATGGATGTTGGCCATCTCCTGATGTGGAGTAAGAACTTGCTAGAGAGTTTAAGGAATGAAGAAAGATGGAATCTGGATAGCCAGGAAGCTGCCACATACACTGACTGCATCAAGGTATTAGATATGGAGTGTGTGACTGTAGCCAACCCCCGGAGCTGCGCTTCTTATTGAGTCCAAGTCATGGAATCCTACCTCATCTCCCCCCCCACACACACAATCTAGCAGCCACAGAGTGCACAACAGTCCATGGTTAACTGAAGAAAAAAGCAAGGCTGAAAATAATACTTCAAATAATTTCACTTGGAGACTAAAAAGAGCTGAACGCAATAATAAACGGATTGCAAGTATCTGATTAACTGAAATATTTTACCTGCCAGATGTGCCAAGACTTGGATCATAAAAATTAATGCCATGCTTGCGAGAACAGCAGAGATCAATTAAAAAATTATGAACCAGCTCTCTCACTAGGACTTTTCCTGCCTCTTCTTGATCCTGGGAAGCCTGCACAGAAGAGAAAAATTGAATAAAATATTAGTGTTCACTAGTTAGTACACTCAAATGAAATGGACCATAAAACAGCAGTACAGCATATGCCTTAAATGGAGAAGGCCTCAGTTCTATTTCTGGTCTTTCCATTTAAAAAGAACTAGTAGCACCTTATACAAAAAAACCTCTTTCTCAGGTCCTGTGAAGCACAGACAAATCTAGGCTGGATGGAAAAATAGTCTGACCTGGCATACAGATATCCCCTGTGTTCCTAACGGAGGACTTCAGACCAGACTTGATCTCTCTAGATATGAAATTGGGTGGAAGGGATGCAGTGAGAAGCTTCCACATATATCATTAGTGTCAACACCAATAGAGCTCTAAGACCATCCCACATCTGGACAACTTTTAAGAGACATGGAAAATGCACACCTGATTCCATACCAGTAAGAGAAAGAAAAAAGGAGTGATGTTAAGACTGTAAGATTGGAGAAGTTCTTTCTAAAATGCAAGCATGCTGGTTTTAGAAGAGAGAATGGAAAAAGATGAATACTAAATGTTTACATTGGACTAAACTGGGCATCATTTTCCTTCAACTGATTATAACTACTTCTTATACATTCAAATAACTACTTCAATAGCTGGCTGTATAGCTTAGAAGTATGGTGGGACAGAGAGAGAGAGATGGCTCCACAGCCAGAGGCTGGGAGTTCAATTCCCCACTGTGCTTCCTGCAAGTAGAACCAGCCTGTGTAGCCTTGAGCAAGCTGCATAGCCCCAGAGCGCCCCCATAAGAAGAGAATAGTAAACCACTTCTGAGTGTTGTCTAATTGGAAAATCCTGAAAAGGGTTGCCATAAATCAGAATTGACTTGATGGCATATATGATGACTATTATGAGTGATAACTTTTTCTCCCGTCTAAAAAGAACACGAACACAGCAGGAGAAGGTGAAAAGGAATTGCTGTACCTTGACATCTTCAGTGCTGACATCAGTGATTCCATTCCAGCGGTAAAGTGAAGCAATATGGGTTAATACTTCTGCAGTAAAAAAATGCACTTTCTGGGTCTTACTGATATTTTTATTTTGAACCACCTACAAATAGCAAGAAACACATTGTCAGATTTCAAGAGTAGAGGAGGAAAAAAGCAATATTTCTTTTTTCCTTTTTGATAATCTGCCTCTGCTAAGAAAGCCAAACAGATATTTCTTAAGATCAGTATACTCTAGTTTGGCTGCAGTAGCAAAAATAAACAAACCATTACTTGAGAAGTGAGGTTTATCCTTGTCACAACATTTCTACTCTGAAAACCATGAAGAAAAATATGACAAATCCCTCTTTTATATTCCAAAAGGGCTATTTCACCCTGTTTCTTTAAAAAATATATCAGAAGAGAAAATAGATAATCATTAAGGTCAAAAATATTGTGACTAAAACAAACAAACAAAGGTAGAACCATTGCAGTCACTGTGCTCAAACTTCTTACTGGTCCCTCTAGTGTAGATGTGGAAGATTTATGTCTTTACAACCATTTTAGAGTGTGGTACCCTCAAATATACTGGTCAGCTGAGCAACTACGTAGGTTGGCCTCTGATGGAGAAATCAAGGCATGCTAAGTCGCACTGGCCATGTGACCACGCTGGCTCTATGGCTTGAAGAGCGGGATGAGCGCCGCCCCCTAGAGTCGGACACGACTGGACAAAAATTGTCAAGGGGAACCTTTACCTTTACCATAATGTCTAAGAGCACACTACACAAGTGCAAAATAAAATGTAGCCAGACACAAAGCAGAATGCACATCCTTGTCTGTAAGTCAATATAAAGCTCACTCACTCTGTGTGATCACAAGGAGCTTCACTGTGCGGTGATTAAGCTGCAGTCAAGCTCTGTTCATTACAAGCTCAATCCCAACAGGCTCAGGTAGCCTGGTCAAGGTGGACTCCGAGGTCAGTAAAATGAGCACCCAGCTTGCTGGGGTCCGAAGCTATGTGTAGTTTTTGTAATTAAACTGTAAACTGCCCAGTGAGTGTTTTAAGCACTATGGCGAGGTACAGTGGTGCCTCGTTTAGCGATCACTCCGTTGAGCGATGAAATCGCTTAGCGATGGGGTTTTGGCCATCGCCAGAGCGAAAAATCGCTTTGCGATGATCATGGGGAAGTGATCATGGCAAAGCGACCCTTTTTCCACAGCTGATCGGCTGTTCCAAAATGGCCACCAGAAAAACAAAATAGCCGCCCGCTGTTTTGCCTCGCTTTAGAGGCACCGAAAATGGCCGCCCCTATGGAGGATCTTTGCATAAGGTCAGTTTTTAAGCCCATAGGAACACATTAAACATGTTTTAATGTGTTTCTATGGGCTTTTTAAAATTGCTTAGCAATGTTTTTCCTGGAACGGATTAACGTCGCTAAGCGAGGCACCACTGTATACAGGCAACATACTTTCCTTTGCTTTGCAAGCTTTTCATCAGCTGTTTCTCTACTCGAAGTGAAGAATTATTTATTATTTATTTCAAATAATCCCAGAAGGCATTCAGCCCTTGATGTTATTCATAGTTTGACAATCTAAAATGTATTGCGGGCTCTTGCTATAAACATTTCAGATTAATAAGTATTTGTACATCATTTTTAGTTACACTGTCCTCCTAGAATTAGCATAAATCAGAGTAGCTTATCAGTTCCCTAAATATGTATAACTTGTGTAAATATCAATAAATATAGTCCCTTTAATTACTGCAGTGATATCAGCACTACAGTCTTGAATATATCTGAGGGTGGGTGCCCTCACTGTCGGTGGCGTGGGTGACTCTCTCTCATTTGGGGGGGGTCGCCCTTGCCGCAAAGAGTGGGGTCCGCAGCCTGGGGATACATCTGGACCCAGCGCTCACCATGGAAACTCAGGTGGCGTCGGTGGTCCGTTCCGCCTTTTTCCATCTTTGGCAGATAGACCGGCTGCGACCCTATCTTGGTACGGGGGTGCTCACTACCTTGGTTCATGCGCTCGTAATCTCCAGATTAGACCACTGCAATGCGCTCTACGTGGGGCTACCTTTGAGGTTGACGTGGAAACTCCAAGTGGTGCAGAATGCGGTGGCCAGACTCCTTACTGGAGCGAGAAAATTTCTATAAAAGTAGGTGTATACAGCCATGGCCAAAAATATTGGCACCCTTGCAATTCTGTCAGAAAATGCAACCCTTCTCTCAGAAAACTGTTGCAGTTGCAAATGTTTTTTACTCACATGTTAATTTCTTTGGTTTGTGTTGGAACACAAAAAAACAGAGAAGAAAAGTCAAATCTGATACAATCCCACACCAAAACCCTAAAATGCACTGACCAAAATTATTGACACCCTGTCTAAATTGTAAAAAATATTTGCTTTTCAAGCATGTGATGCTCCTTTAATTTGTATTTAGACACACCTGTCACAAGTAAGAGGTGTGGGCCATATAGTAGTCACACTTGCAACCAGTTAAGATGGATAAAAGTTGATTCAACCTTTGTGTTGTGTGTGACACTGAGCATGGAGGAAAAAAACTGAAGTGTAAAGAGTTGTCTGTGGATTTGAGAGAAAAAACTGTGGAAAAACAATCTCAAGGCTATACGTCTTAATGCTCATGTGTCCACTGCGCACAATATCATCAAGAGGTTTACAGTCCATGGCATTGTAGCTAACCTCCATGGACATGGACTGAAGAGCAAAATTACTGAAAAATTACAACAAACGGTTGTTCAAATGGTGGATACAGAACCCAGAATAACTTCCAAACAAATTCAAGCTGATCTGCAGACACAGGGTACAACAGTGTCAGTTCTCACTATCCGTCGCCATCTGAATGAAAAGGGACTCAATAGAAGGAGACCCAGGAGGACACCACTGCTGACACAAAGGCATAAAAAAGCAAGAATGGAGTATGCCAAAACTTATGTGACAAAACAACAATCCTTCTGGTAGAATGTACTGTGGACAGATGCGACAAAAGTAGAGCATTTTGGTAAAGGATATCATGGCACTGTTTTCAGAAAAAGAAATGAGGCATTCAAAGAACGCAGTCCCTACAGTCAAACATGGTGGAGGTTCAAAAATGTTTTGGGGTTGCTTTGTTGCTTGCCTTGACTGTGTGAATGGTATCATGACATCTGATGATTACCAAAGAATTTGGGGGGGGGGGGGCAACGTAGTGGCCAGTGTCAGAAAGCTGTGTCTCCACCAGAGGTCATGGGTCTTCCAGCAGGACAATGACCCAAAACACACTTCAAAAAGCACTCCGAAATGGTTCCAAACAAAGTGCTGGAGAGTTCTGAAATGGTTAGCAATGAGTCCAGATCTGAATCCCATAGAACACCTGTGGAGAAATCTCAAAACAGCAGTTGGGAGAAGGCATCCTTCAAATCTGAAGGCCCTGGAGCAGTTTGCAAAAGAAGAATGGTCCAAAATGTCAGTAGAGAGGCGTAAGAAACATTCATGGTTGCAGGAAGTTATTGATTTCAGTTATTTTTTCCAAAGGGGGTGCTACTAAACATTAAGGGTGCCAATAATTTTGGCCAGTGCATTTTTGGGTTTCTGTGTGGGATTGTATCAGATTTGACTTTTCTTCTCTGCTTTTTTGTGTTGTTCCAACCAAAGAAATGAGCATGTGAGTACCAAAACATTTGCAACTGCAACAATTCTCTGAGAGAAGGGTTGCATTTTCTGACAGAGTTGCAAGGGTGCCAATATTTTTGACCATGACTGTAAATATAGCAGGATGCCCTGACAGCAGGTACAATAGTGGAAGATAAATTAACTGTTGATGTTGTTAATTTTCCAGACATCACAAGCCTTTGCTGTTTCTATTACAAAAGGCTAACAAAGCTACTTCTCTAGAATATGAATTAATTCACATGTCCTATGAGAATAGACTCAGAAGATACTATAAACTATCAGTTCTAATGCCATCATTGCCACACTAACCTCCCTGTGTGAAGGATGTTTATACCTGCTGTAAGGTATTTAAAACTTCCTAACTTGATTTTCAACATCAATTTCTCTGTTGCTTAAAAACTCAGCCCAATCAAATGACCATCTCTACCTCACTGTCCATTTTACTATCAAAATGTTACTGTAATAGAAATGCTGTTGAAACTAAAACTGCAGTAAAACATCAAGCAATTGGGAACTGGAAATTCTCTAAAGAAACAGAGCAAAGCTATTTTCAGAAGTCAAAGAAAATATCAAGGACAAAGCAGCTTCAAAGATGTACCTTAGCTGCCAATGTGGAAAGCAGAAGACTAATTGTAGAAATTCTATCTTCCTTTAGTCCAGTCCTAAAAATATCTGGAATGAAATCTATAAGCCATTTGAGAATGTTAAAACCATGATTGGAAGATAGCAAGCATTTTTAAATGGTATCAATTGTACAAAGTATTGGCACTGGTGCAAAAGAGTGTATTTTAGCCTGCAGTGAGCCAAAAATGTATAAACACAAAATAAATTATGAACAGATGCCAAGGTAAAGACTGGTTGTTATTATCAATTAATTTTATAATGAATTACATATAGAAAGTTGCACAAGTGCTGGGGTGGGTATCCACTCATAGCATAACCCCTATTCTACCCTTCACCAGATGTTCTAGACAAAAATACTAATTCCCAGACAGCATGGTCAGGAACTATGGGAGTTATAGTCTGAAATACACAGAGAGCGCCTATTTGGATAAGGCTGCTCTGTTCCAAAGATCATATGGACTCTATCAGTTTCTTCTCACTCAGTGGTTCCTAGCCTTGGGTTCCCAGATGTTCTTGAACTAAAACTCCCGGAAGCCTTTACCACTAGCTGTGCTGACCAGTTGTGCTCCAAGAACATCAGGGGACTCGAGGCTGGGAACCACTGCTCTAACTGAACTGGGATACAGACAGAGGGCTCTCCTCTCTCACACACACACAAGAGTCCTTCCACCATTAAACAACTTGGAAACATTACCCAAAATACAAGTACCGTATGTGTTCTTTTGACATGTGATTTTTGCCCAATGATGCCCACATAGATGGTGATAGAGGCTTTGCATTTTCTACATGTCACAAGAGCTAACTACCTTGTAAAAACAAGACACAAGCTAATGAGTCAGGCAGCTCCCTCCCAAAGCTTCTATTAATGATTTTAGTTACCCAAGATGTTTAAAAATGGGCACACAGTTCACTAAAAGGGAGTAATTTAGGCCTCTAAGAAACATGAAAAATACCTTTTAACTCCAGAACATGTACAAGGATTGTGTTGTCACCAGCAATTAAAAAGGAAAGGGCAAATTGGATATATGCCATACGAACATCAGGTTTGCCCTAAACAAATATTAAGGACAATGAATATATATGATAAATACAAATGCTAAAAGCTTTAAAATGCAGCTTTAAATACGTTTGCAATTTAAAAACATGGTTCACCAGCAGTCTATTAGCCAACATGATTTATGTGTAGATTTATGTGCACTGGCATTTCTGTTTTATCATCTATCAGAAACTTAGATTTTTATTAGGCCAGTTATATTCTCAATGTTCATAAAGCTGATGTGGCTTGCCACTTTGCATAAAATAGCAACAACACAGCTCCAAAGGATTAGACATCACTTATGCAATTCATTAATATGGAAAAAAGACTATGTGAGCAAAGGCATGTAAAGAAACAAAGAATCAATTTAAATATTTAAATACAGTAAAGAAAACCACCCTCAAATATACGTCAAAATATATGTCAAATATACTGGGGAAATGGCAAGATAGTCTCCTGGATGTGACATCTTTTAACCAGCACCTTCTGGTCTGGGCGACTTGCAAGTTGGCAGCATCTCTAAGAATCCAAATGCAATGTGTAGTAACATAAATTCAGTACAGCTGTACCTTGTGTTTTCTTCTTTTGAATAAATGCATAGGCTCAATATGTAAGTGTTAGAGTGCACATATATATATTTGGCTGGAATCAAATAGTAAGTCACAACTAAAATAGGCCCACTGAATCAATGGAAATTACAGAGGAGATGACTCACCAAATCCCCAATTCAATGGTTCTACTCTAGTTGCAACTTACTGGATTTCAGCCAACGGGTGTAAAATTTTCACATGGTAAGACTGATACATTGTATTTATCCATGAAGGCATGTGTGTGAACTAGTCTCCACATGAAAATACATGTTATATATTTGTGTGGAAACATCAGACTTTTTACATGAAGGCTATTTAAATTGCCATGCACACAAAAATTTGCATATTAAGTGATACAAATAATAATCTCATGGATTAAAATATAGTTTTATTGTTAATTCCAGCCTTTATCTGAACATCAGACAGAAGAAGCATAATTAGCTGGTGCCTTTATATTAACTGGAGATTCTGTCTTACCTTATGATCTCTCTTCTTTACTAAACTAGGTAGAAATTTATTATTGAAATCAAAATGGCTGTAGACATCCCTTGCAGCATCTGGTCCCTGTGTCACCATTGCTGACAACAAGGTGAGACACATACGAGACATTCTGTACACATAAAGCAAAAGAGGATACTGTTTAAACAAGGCATAAGCAAACAAATGAACAAAAAGAAGTGAGAACTGATATGTATGAATTAAAAACACGCTGCTTTCAGCTATGTCAACTAAAACAGCAGGTATATAAGAAAAGTGTTTTACATTTTTGGTATTATCCTTTTAAGATGCATGACTGAAAATGGCAAACAACATATTTTATCAAACAATTCTCCCATGCTAAATCCCCATTGAATGTTGGTCTCAAGGTTGCCCTAACCATTAGAGTTTGCAAAGTGTTGTGTTTTTTAAAAAATCCAGCAGGAATGAATCTCTATCAGAGGAAGTTTCATAGCATAGAGAAGGCCCTATCTCGTGCCTCAATATGCCTGTGAGGATGAAAGAAGAAGGCATGGATAAATAAAACATAATAAATAAATGAGTTTCACAAGGTAAACTGTTTCTCCATGAATTACTGTGTGATCTGTTAGATAAGATACAAGTACAGCATATTTAAGAGTAAGCGATGCTAAAGCAAATATAAAAAGGTCTTGAGCACAGTGCCAAGGTCTTCCTAGGAGTAAAAAAAACCATGATCCTGGATAACAGAAACTTTGTTTTATCGAATTTATAGGCAAAACCTGTTTCAGATTTAGCAACCACAGAATGTATCTATGAAGATTCTCAGTAATCCAGGTGAGGTTATAACCACAGAATGGAGTTTTCGCTTGCAGAAAGCTTACCTGTGACCTTCAGAATATAGAGCAGCATATATTAACCTCATGTAGCTATTAATCAGTTTCTTTACTATGTTCATCCCCACTACACGAAAATGAGACAGATCACTTGCTGTTCGCAGCAAAATGCTTTCTAGTGCTTGAAAGATTAACAGCATCTGCAAGATTAAAATGTTTGATAAATTTTAGTTTTAAGATAAAAATGGAATAAGCAGCAAAGTTTCTTAAAGAATGTGAGTCATCATCCTAACTTAGTACGTTACTTTAAAAAATCCCTTAAAAATGCAATACTACATTAAGTACAAAGATATCGCCATAGAACAGCTCTAAATCAGTATATAAAATATTAGTCCAATAAGTGGAACTTAAAGCTCCAGTCTTATAGTTAGCTGTTTTGGAGATAAAGCCATTGGCTGTAGCTTTATGAAGTCCAGACAACCAGAGCTTTCAATATCGTTGTGTATTGGCCTCAAGAAGGCAAAACAGAACTGGGCAGTGTACAATTTGAGGGCCAAATCTATCCTTCTCTCCATGATTTCATCTGACTTTTGAAAGCTACCTTTAGTACTGGACAGCTTTCTCCCTAAAGACAGTTTTTTATTGTCTTGATGTGCCTTTTGAAGTGTAACCCTTTTCGTATAAGAGGCTGCTCAGTGCTAGATTGTCTCCCACCCAAAGAAAGATCTAAAGATGAGGATTGAACTACCTTCCAGACAATTTACTCTGCATCTTCACCTCTGAAATCTAATTTTAAATCAGTAAGTTGCTCAATCCATACAAAGGCAATCCTGTTTTGATGTGTATGGCCTCCATTTGATTGTATTTCCTAAAAGTCAATGGCTCATAAACAGAGATGGGGTATTCGTATTCAAATACTAATATCCCTGTGCAACTGGGGTGAATGAGGGTCTGGCTCCTGGGGCCAGACTACCCACTCATGCATCAGCCGGCAGCCTTGCTCATCCTTCCAATCACTCCCGGAGCTCCGCTCTCTTCCTGCTCGGCTAGCAACTCGGCAGCTGTGCAGGAAGACTCATCCTCCCTCCCCTTGCCTGGACTGGCTAGCCAATCAGGAAGAGAGCAGGGCTCCGTAAGTGATTGGAAGGATAAGTGAGGCCGCCGGAGGACATGTGAGTGGATGGTCCAGCTCCAGGGGCCAGACCCTCATTAACTCCAGTTGTGTGGGGATATTCGTAGTTGTATACAAATACAAATACCCCCATCTCTACTCATAAATAGAAAAAAACTGTCCTTATTTCTGGTCTAGAGATAAAGGAGAACCATATCCCTGAGCTGACAAGCAAAATTTTGTGATTATGTACAAATAAAAGGATGAAATTTTGATGACAGGCAGACCCGCAAAGTGTGCAGGTGCCTCCCAACATCATTTTATGTTACTGTTTGTTTTCTATCACCAGAGTCTTAGCACATACAGGGAACAAACAGTTGAGTCCTTGGCACACACCATTTCAGAATTTAGCTTATATAGGTCTGAACGTAATCATTACCTCTAACCAAAATTTATAAATGCACTAGTATACCTCCCACAGACTACCTGAAGTTTTTGCTGTCCAGAGAGAACCAATTAATAACACAGTCGGTGGCCAAGTTTTTATTCACATTTTTAAGAATTCGTAAAATGTTATATTAAGACAATTACATGACTCAAGTTTTATGCTGCTGATATGTTCTAACAACTTACTTATTCTGTATATATTATATAATGTGTTTATTTTTGTATTTTGGGGTCTATGACCATATAATAATAAACTAACTAACTAACTTAGCACAAACATACCTTATATGGCATGGGGACAGGACAGAACATAAGCCTCTGTTGGCCTCAAACTACTGGCATTGCTACAGTTTAGATCTAGTGTTTTATCAGTCACATCCTTAACAGTAATCATGCAAGGAAAAGAACTGCATTTTTCCAGGTAGGAAATAGCTTATCCACCAGAAAGAAAATGCAAAATTCTCACAACCAGTACATGATTGCAAAAGCAGGTAGGTAATAACTAAACAAGTCATGTACCCTGTAAAATTGGAATACACACTACTTCACATGCTTATCATGTGAAAATTATGTTTCATACATAGAAGTACAATAAATTTTAAGAAACGTACAAGGTTCTAGGCAATTTTTTGTGATTTCTTTTTTCCTTTATACTGCAAATATGTGCTTATCTTAATACACTTCCCAATACATACTTGACTATCAAATGCTAAACTGAAGAAATACTGACCTCACTTTCAGGTCGCTTTTCTCCATCCAGAAGTTTTAAAATTTCTGCACATTCTACAGAAACTTTTGTGTATCCTTCTACAATATCAAACTGCTCTGTTGATGGTAAAGATTTAGCTAGGGATATGAATTTTTTCAAACCTAGAACAAAATAAAAATGCATTTTTTTTATTTAAAACATACTGGTAATTCTAATCTTTGTGTTAACAAATTATGGTTTTCAAACCATCACCAGGGTTTATGTGCTGATTTTTATATAACTCATATATTAAAAGTCATCCAGTTATGTGAACCTATATCCAGATTCTATCCAGCAGAGTGTACCTGCCTGACATTAATGTTACCAATACAATTTTTCAGAAACATGATGTGAACACAAGCACAGGTTGGCAAACAAAGGTTACAGTAATGCAAAGAAGAAAGTGGATGTAGAACAGTGCACTGCAACAGTTGAGCAGCAAAATACACTCAGTAGAATTTTGCTATTCCAGTGATAATGAGCTACCATCTGAAATTTGCCTAGCCCCCTCTCTGGTGACTTTTAAGAAATTTCTGAAAACCATTTTATTTCAGCAGGCTTTTTAAAACACTCCATCTGAATGGCCACTGAGTGTTTCAGCACATTAATTTTAATTACCAGCTGTTTTTAAATGTAATGTCAATTTGGTTTTAATTATGTTTATATTATTTTATGTTATTTAACGTTATCACTGTTGTGAATTGTCCAAAGTGACCATTGGTCAGATGGCCAGTATAGAAGTTGAACTGAAAAATAACTACCTGTACAGTAAATCAATGAGTACATTTACATTCATGCAGGTAGACCTGGAACAATTAAATATCATAAATACCTTTAACCTTGCATTGGTGCCTGGTTAAATAAAATACCTAAGTTAGAAATTCCATCCTGAAAGCTAAATTCTGCATCAAGTTTGCCATGGTTTCTACAGAGGCCTCATCCTGAAGCTTCCACACCCCTCAGAGAAGAGGGTGGGAGAGAGAATCCAGATTGAACTGCTATCTTCAAGAAGTGGTCCTTGGACTGGAGGTTCAGTCAGATTGATTAGTCTCTGCTTTTCTACCAGGAAGAACAAGTGAGGGGCGACCACATTAACCAAAAATGTGGGAAATGCTACTGGTTTGGAACAGGCTGATTCACATTTTTCGCTGTTGATCACATGATGCAACAGGAAAAGTAAATCAACTTGGAGTCCCCAATCCATAGCTTTCCCTCCCCATGACAGAATCTTCTACTGTACTTTAAAAAAGTTGAATCCTTTTGATTTGGTTAAAAGCATTTGATTGCTTTGAACTGATACAGAAAGGGTGGATGAGGCGTGCACACAAACACATATACACAAAGCATCTTCCCTTTTACTTCAAGAGCGTGTGCACGCACACATACACAGGGCAGTACCAGCATACATTTCCCCAGCAAAGCTTCTCTCCAAGTTTCTTCTTTTCTTTTCCCAGCTTCTCCTCCTTGGAAACTCTCCTGTTTATTTACATAATATTTAATTTTTAACAGCTTAACTACCAAAGTTCTAATTAGGAAGCTGGCAGATGAGACAGGAAAATGCCTGTCTCTTTGCCTGTTAATAAAGTTCTTTGAACAACAACACCTGCAGAGCTATAAGAACTGCAAGCAGTTCGATTTAAGTGTGGCCACTTGAATTGCACAGACCCTAATTCCTTGGTATCACTTCACAGCAAGGGAATTTGCCTTTCCTTTGCTGGGTCGTTGAACCCTGAGGCTCACTACCCACGGAGGTGCCACTTTTGCATCCACTTCAAGGAGCACTGGAAGATGCAGCACCTAATTTGCCCTTGCTAGCCACACACGTGGACAAACTAATCTGGAACCACTTTGGTGACAATTTACAAAAACGGAATCACTATTACCATACTGCCATTACACAGGCAGGTCTAGGCCTGCAGCAGGCAGGAGGGCACCTCTCTCTGCCATGTCACAGACTACCTACACCAATTATTGGGTGAAGTTACAATAATATGAACCCATAATAACTCCCTCCCTTCCAAGAGTTCGCAACCACCACACTGGCAGAGGAGGAACATGTGGTCCCTCCAGAAGTTACTGGGCTGTAACTCCCACGGCTCAAGTTCAACATTGCCAATGACAAGGGAAGATGGCAGGGGCAGGAGAGCAGTGCCCGACAGACCCCTCATCCAGCCTGGAGTCTTCCTCTTTTCACAATCGTGCTCTGAAGGAGGAAAAGAGGCAACGGCGAGCATAACGTGCAAGAGCAAACGACCCTTTGGGAGGGACCCTGGTCAGCCCGCTTAAGAAGGTTCCCAGTGCCTGCGACGAGGGCAGCAGGGCCGATTTCGGCCACGAGTCAGAGAAGGGACTACAACTGGATCGAAAAGTGAAGCGGCAAGGGGAAAAAGAAGGAAGGGAGGAATGCAGTCTGGTGAGCACGTGGGAACGCTCGCCTGCTCTTTCTGCCTCACCCTTCATAGCCGTGCTGGGGTCCCGCAGCATAGCCTTGAACCGGGCGCCTGTGAACTCCTCCGCCTCGGCATTGCAGGCCCGCTTAGGCGGCGGTTGGTCTTGCCGCTTGGCCGAAGCCGGGCTCGGGCGCTTGGCACCCATGATCCCAAACAATCACAGCCGGCCGCCGCGTGCAGCGGAAGACAGAAAAGCCGGTCCTCTTCCCC